GGTGCGGGGGGGGGGGGTTAGCAACTACTTACAGGCTTGCAACTTTTTTCCTCCCCTAAAGTAGAAAATGAATTGTGTGCAGTCCATCAGCATTATGTGGGGAACAAAAAGAACAGAGATTTGCCTCCTTTTGTGGTGCCCAGCCCTGGGTTTGTGACTGGTTTCTTGGCTACTATTTCAGTCTCATTCTGCAAAGTGCCAATGTGATCTTACAAGGTTTGTTAGGAGCTTAGTTATTTACGTGTGACTGGATTTGGGGTAGTAGTATGAGGAGCACTGTGCACCTGACTTTAGTGCACTAAAAAGGACTGGAAAATAGGCTTTTCCCAATTAATGACTTGGGTTGAGAGATTAAAGGAATTATGGTGTGTAGGGATCTTTTGGCAACCATGTGTATAGATAAGTATCAGGGTCTGTTAATCTGTGTTTTCTGGGCTGCTAAAACCATGTGCCTGATCTTAACCTGTGCCCCGAAGGAGAACCACACACCCAAGATGAAGCCTATTATGCAAATCTCATAGTGGACAGTCTCCATGCATGGAAATTGTCTGGAATGATGCTATAGGAAATAATGATGTTTAGTATTAGGACAACACTGGAGACAAAAATGTGGTAATGAAGCAAAGGAACAGAGTTATTGCTTGAAAACTCACTTTTTTCTTCTCTGTCTTTCCTTTAACCTGGAATGGTAGATATCTACAACTGCAATCTTCAGAGCTGCAAAGTAATCATAAGATTACAGAATGCACAAGTAATCACTGCATTAGGCTAATTTCCAAGCCTTTATGTTCATGGTAGGCTGAAATGGTCACTCTGCTTTGCTGGTTTAAAAATCCCATGGCAATTTTACAGGGGCATAAACTCACCAGAGCATAATCTTCTGTAGAAGCTTTCTTTTGCTTACTCCTTCCAAATACATCACTGCCTGTACATATGAACCTGGGTAGATCCTGAGAACTCTTCTCCTCTTCTTTCTTGGACTGTTTTACTATTAGGACTTACTTGTTCAGTCATACATGCAATTGTTAAGTACTCCTTCTCCTGAAAAGCAAACTTACCAGGTTTAAGGAGCTGAGGTAGCACTTTTGGACCAAGGCTTCTTTGCACATAACAAGGAACTCCAAAACAACGGAAAGACAGAGTTCTGTGAAGATTTGAAGTAGCCTTTGCTATAGTTCTTAAAAACATCTACAAGATTTTAGCTTTTTAACTTCTAAACGTCTCTGTTTGCCAGAGGAACAAAGAGGATAGTTCACCACAATGTGAAGCAGCACAGGGAAAAGCCAGGCTCCTTAGAAATCAGATCCCCTCAAAAATCTGTCTGCACCCTGGCTGATCCACTCAGAGATCCTTCAGCTTCTTTCTCCTGTAACCACTGGGTTAATAAACTGGTTTTGGTAGAGTCTGGAAAGAAAAGATGAGGAGTCACCTATCCCCTTCCCTTCCCTCATTCTGTTAAAGAACACAACATTCTAGGTCATTAAGTGACCGTGGGGTTGGCTGATGCCTTGGTTGGCTTTTTTAACTTTAATATGCTCTCAGAAGGAAGAAGCTGAAGACTTGACAAGGGCTTTACAGGCTGTAGAGACAACAAGAGCACGTCCCCTTCCAGCACATTGTGCTGCAGAAACAGGGGTGGCCCCAGTGACAGAACCCAGAATCTGCTCCTCTCTCTAGTTACAAGAAAAGAGCAAAACTGACACTGGTGCTTTATTGGTTGCTCTCCCCAGTAAATAATTAATAATGCAATTAAGAACGCATTGTGTTTATATGTCTATTTTAAACCAGGTGTTTCTGTATAAACACCAGGAAGCCCCTTGCCTATTCATTCATCTGTCCAGTCCTCTGGGTAATAGAATTTCTAATAGACAGGGACAGCTAAAGCCCAAAGGGGGGGTGTGTGTGAGCTCAGGAAACAACAGCTCTGAGTTACACTTGCTGATCCTTTACTTGCAAAAAACCCCTTCAATTTATACTAAACTGATCTGCTGTTAATTTAGGAGGAAAAGATGATGCCTGAGGACAGGAGGGGTGGGACAATATTCATCATTCTTTTTGCACATCTCTTGTAAAACCAGTGTTCAAGCACCATAGAATGGTTTGGGTTGGAAGGGACCTTAAGAGCAGCATTATGTATTTTCATTAAGAGGTGTTTAATGCTCCTAACTTAAGAACAAGGTAGCAAACTCTCCTTCGTGCTGAAGTGTGGGGACAAGGAAATGGGACACGCAGCAAGTTAAACATGAATGAAATCTCTTACTAAGTACTGGAATCAGCGCCAATTTATGGGAAATATTTTTGTATCTTTAAACTCTCTTCAAGCTCAGCTCACTCATTATTTCCTGGGGTTTGTGTGGGCAGAACTTAGAAGTACATGCAGAAACTGCACTGGAGAACCTCTATAAATGTCACAAGTAATTATGCCCCTATAACCATCGCATTTCAATGCTTTCACCTGAGTGCACAAGATTCTGAGGGAAATCATGATCAACTGGGGAGGGGGAAGAACATTCATGAGAACAAATGAAGGGGAAAAAGTGGAGCTTCTGCTCACAGAAAAATTAGTATTTGCTGCCACATGCACTTTTTGGAGGGGCTTTTGTTTTTAATAGACATATTCACCCAGGAACAGCCAATTACAAAATCCGGAATGCATGAATAGCTCAGGCTACTATACTGTTACATGCTGCATTGAAATGAGAAAAGAGATGCTGTATGAATGAAAATCATTTGCCTGTGCTTTTCCCTATGGATTATGCTAGGGAGGCAGTTGTTTGTACTGGTAGCTTAAGATAGTCCAAGCTGACACTGTGTTCGAAGTGTCCATTTTGGGAAACGATAAGGTTCTTTGAGCTGGTCGGAGGGATGCAGCGATAGGCAGGAATTCAAGGCTCCTTTCCTCATTCCAAAGAATCAATATATTTGGTTTCTCAAGAGTGTGGCCAAAACAGTTTCTTTGCTTTTCATTCCTCTTCAGCCTCATTTGGTCTGCAAAAACTTTCCTGAGCACTAATGAGTGAGACCTTTGTTTCACACTCACGAACCTGTTTTGGCATGCGAGGCCCAAATAATGGGAAGAATGCAAACTAATCAAAGCAAACAGGCTGTGTGTCCAGTGTGTGCAATGGCTGCAACCCAAATTCACCTCCCTAGAGGACAGCAGGATCCTGGGCAGAGTATCTGCCTTCAGAGCATGTCAGGAGAATATGAACAGGAAAAGAATAAACATCATGTAGTATTTAGAAGGATGTTGACTGTCTTGTGTCTTATAAAATGAAACGTCGCTGCTGTCCAGCCAGAGCTGCAGTCTATTTCCACTCACTTCTTGTGGTTTCAGCAATTACTTTCCAGTGTTAGAAGTAAAAATCATTTACATGAGAAGGAGAGGGGAGAAAAAGCCAGGAAAAAGATAAATTACTGATGTTATAATTCATTCTGAGGAAAACTTGTAATTCATGAAATATTCAAGTGCTCGGGGCTGACTGAGATTTGTAACTGGTTGTTTCTTCTGATCTGTCCATTATATTTGTGTTTAACTGCAATATATGCTTGTGTGCACTCATTATAGTGCAAGTACAGAATAGAAGTGAACAGTTCAAGAAGTTAACTGAAATCTGAGAGATTTCATACCATTTCTACCATCTCACTCATAGTAAGAAGTGACTGAACAATGTCTGTGACCTCCTGTGTGGTGGGAGGAGCTGGTGTATCAGCAGGTACAGGCTTCTGTGGTCCTCCTAAAAGGCTGCCTGGGAATCTTTCCAGCTGGTATTAAATTGCACTCTCCTTTCTTGTGGGAATACTGAGAACTTGTTTAGAGTGACACAGGAAAATGTGACAGGCAAAATGCAATGATATCGGGAGGCAGAGGCCAAGCAGCTTACATCTAGAGCTTTTTATGGAATGATTTTTACATGATCTCAAGAAAAGCAGAGCAATGTGGAGGAGGAAAGGGAAGAAGGGGGAATTCCATCCCAGTGCAAGCATCAAATACTCCTGTGTGTTATGTGCAACTGAGACAGTGCAGCACTGACCTGTGACTTGTGAAATGGAAGAAACAGAGACCATAGAAATTATCCTGCAGTCAGAGCCAAAGCCTGAGCCGTTTTCTACAGTATGAAATCCTACAATTAGGTTGCAAAGTATTCTCAAGGAATGAAGCAAAGTCAACATCTGAGAGGTTTAAAACTGCAGGACAGGGAGGATGCGGCTCCTTCCTTTTCCCTATTAACTTGGAGAAGGGCAAGATCTAATTCCACAGGTTTCTAGAAAATAGTTCTTTCTGTCCCCAGGAGGCCTCATGTAAAAGAAAAACAGCTGGTTAGACCCTGGACTTCATTTTTTAGAGGCATTCTCTCACGTGGGCAGATCCAGGACAGCTGTGGGAAGGAAGATGCCAGAGTTCCTGAGCTAAGAGATCAAAAATGTAGTTGGTCACACTCCATAGCCTCTGCCAAACAGTACTCACAGGGCAAATGCCTGACATCCTGTACTAAGTACTGCAGACAACTGAAGAATGGACTAGAGAACCTCCAATGAAATTACCAGGCAAAAGATCTGACAGACAGAAGGAAGTCTTTTTTCACACAGCACGTAATGAAATTGTAGGACTCCTAACTCAATTGTTGAACTCGCTGCTACAGGATGTTATGGGAGCAGAAGTACAAATACATATAGTTCTACCAGTAGTTAGCTATGTTCATGGAGGACACGTCCTTTGGTCAAAGTGGTCTGAGCACAACCTGTGGCTCAAGAAGTCCCCAAATTTATCACTGCAGGCAATGGGGAAGATGATAGGCCAGGAAAAGGATCTGTCTGTACTTGCCTTTTCTTACATTCTTCTCCTGTGCATCTGCTGTGGGGTGCTAACAGGAGATTCTTTTGCTTTTTCAGTTTACCAGGACTCAGAATAGGACATGGAAGCAAGAAAATATGTCTTTTAATAGTAATAAGAAGAAACAGCACAGAGATGGCTTGATGAATCTGACATGTCCACAAGCCAGTCCCCCTTTCAGTACATGTTAAAAGGGAAGAGAGGCTGACATACGATTCTCATAACCTTCTGGGAGCCGAGGGGGTTTGCATTCCTTAAAGCACTGCTAAATTTCAAACTGGTTTTTTAAGTTTGGAAAGACTGTCTGTACGTAACAGGATTTGTCTGTCTCCAAGGGATGCTGAGGCTTTAGCTTAGAACTGCCTGACACAGATGGGAGAATTCTGGGGCGTAAACACAGTACTTTCAAACACTGCATGTTCTTATAACTGTGGGGAAAAGAATGATCTCTTCTTCTCTGTGGATTAAAACATCATTTTAGTAATTCCTGTTATCTGGTATTAAGGCAGCTGCCTTCACAGAAATTCACTAGCAGTAATGCGACCACCCCCTTCACAATAAGAAGTTGTCACATACAGCTAATGCTACTGTAACTCAGTGTTCCTGTTAAACACATGAAAACCAAACAGCTTCAAGAGTAGAACACTTCCAATGTGTTGCACATAGTCTTAAATTACATACCTGCTTGTTGCCTGTATTAATACCTATTCTGATACCAGATTCCCTAAACTAACAGAGGTTAGAATAAGTGACAGCTCATCTA